ACCTGTTTTTGGTTTTGATTTGCATTCCCCTCATGAGTAATGATGTTGAGCATCTTTTCATGAACTTACTGATCATTTGTATACCTTAGAGAAATGTCTATTAAAAATTCTTTTATCCTTTTATTGTTGAATTGTATGATTTTTAAAAAATATTTTGGACCAGTGTCTTATCAGACACGTGGTTTGCAGTATTTCTCTTATTCTTTGGGAAGTATCTAATTTCAAGACTTAACACAAAGTGGGACACCTGAGTGGCTCAGTCAGTTAAGCAACCGACTCCTGCTTTCTGGTCAGGTCTCTATCTCACATTTCGTGAGTTCAAGCGCCACATCGGGCTCCATGCTGACAGTATGGAGCCTGGTGAGGATTCTCTGTCTCTGTCTCTCTCTCTCTGCCTCCAATGCTCTCTCTCTATCTCTCTCAAAATAAGTAAAATAAACTTTTAAAAAATAATAAAGAATTAAAAAAATCTTTTAAGAAAAAGACTTAACATAAAGCAACAGTAATCAAGATAGTATGGTTTTGGTGAAGGATAGACACACAGATAAATGCAACAGAATATAGAGTCCAGAAATAGACCTGAAAAATACAGCAGATTTATTTCTCACAAAGGATTATGAGAAGGAAATCCAGTAGGGGATGTATGGTCTTTTCAATAAATGGTGTGGCAACAACTCAGAGGCAAACCAAACCAAAAGAAACTGGAACAAAAACTAACCCATACACAAAAACTTATCTCCAAACGTATCACTGATCCAAACATGAAATATACACTATTAACTTTGATAAGAAATCACTGACAAAATCTTTGTGGCCTGGAATGAGACACAGTGCTCTCAGGGGTGGCACTAAAGGCATGAATCATAAAAGGAAAACTTGGTAACCTGAACTCGATCAAAATCAAAACTTTGGCTCTGCACGCGGCATTATCGAGAGGCTGAAGTGACAAGATACAGACTAGGAGACGATATGCGCTAGTCACGCATCTGACAAAAGCCTGCACCCAGATGTCTACAGAGTGTGTCTCAGAGCTCACCGGTAAGAAACAAAGAGTTTATTGTAAAAATGGGCAGAAGAGCAGAACAGATATTTCACCAAGAAGACGTACGGATGGCAGAGAAGCACATGAGAAGACCCTCACGACGCTGGTTATCGGGGGAAATGCGGAGTAAAGCCACACCACCACGCCCTCACCTGCCCATCAGAACGACTGCAGTGTAAAGAGGCCAGCAGCGACACGTGGCGACCAGAACGTCCTTCACGGCTGACCGCAATGCAAAATGGTACGGCCACCCTAGAAAAGGTTCGCAGTTTCTTAGAAACACACACGTAGCACATGAGCCGACAGTCCTCTTCTAGATAAAGGATCCCTTAGAGAAATGAAAACTTGCGCTCACATGAACACCTACGCACAACGTTCGTGGCAGCTTTAGCAATAGTCCCAAAGTGGGAAAACTCTCGTTAAGTGAAGGAACGCACACACTGTGACAGGTTCATTCCACAGAGCATGACTCAGTGATAAATAGAACTACTGGCACACATAACAACACGGAGAGGTATAAAGGGTATCACGCTGCGTAAGAGAAGCCAGTCCTAAAAGATAACGCGCTATAGACTTCAATCATATGTTATTCTTGAAAAAGACAAAATTATAGTGGTTGTCAGAGTTCAGGTGTAAGGCGGGTGAGATGGCAAAGGCCCCCAGCATGTGGGAGTTTCTTGCGGGGGGGATAGAGCTGTTGTATGTCCCGATTGTGGCGGGGGTTGAATGAACTTACGCATGTCAAAACTCACAGAGCAGTATACTAAAAAAAGTCAATTTTGTTTGATGTTAAAATAAAGTGTAAACAACTATTTGCCTCATTATGTCACAACGATGATATGGTGAGCAGGACGGCAACCCCTATGAGCACAGATTACAAGAATTCCCTTTTATTAATCTGATACTTCATCCAGCTCTTCAGAGGGGGTCAGTCCATCTCTCCTCAGCAACACGTGGACAAACCCGTTGCTTTCTCAGAGGCAACCCAGGGATCACAGAGCCAGAGGGAGAGGAGACTGACACGTGGCCAGGCTGGGCTAGCCACAGAATCCCACTAAGGAGCCCGGCAGGCAGAAATGGGGCCTGCTCCAGCCCAAGGACAGTGTGTTGAGCTAACCCTCTGGTTTGCCCCATTCTGTGACTCTGAAGTGCAAGAGGATGGTCAGAGCTGGGCTATAAACCCAGGCATGGCCTCCTGGGCTGGCTGGGCCCCTATCTCTCCAGGACTCTGGTCAGGCTGTGGCCAACATCCCCTCTAAGGCCAAAGGGGAGGGTGGAGTGATAGCCCCTCACCCCACCAGTCCCACCAGGGACTGGTGACCACCCATCCTCACTGGGCCTGATAAGAGACCCCACCCCCACAGCCCTCTCCCCTCTCCA